TCACGGTCCGGCCGAGTGTGTGTCGGACGCGAGGCAACACGCGAGGCAACACGCGAGGCAACACGCGATGGGGTGATTGGGGATGGGTGCCGGGGGTCGTGATGTTCCAGTTGAGGGGGAGGGGAAGGGGGTGGTGGTGTTTAGGTGGGAGCATGGGGTCTGTACAACATGATGGGCTGTCCGGGTGCATGAGTCAGCAGAGCAATGCATAAATTATTGCTTGTTTCCTGCCTTTTGGAGCACCGTACCTCTTGCCCGGTCTGCCAGCCTGCACCTGCCTACCAGGTACCTACGGTACCTCCAATTCAATGGCGTGTGGCAGGCAAGAGCAGGGCCAAGCCATGCGATGCGCTCTGACCATTAACGAGCCTTTCATTCGTCGCTCCTTCCAGTTCAGACGGAGCCAGAGCGGCACCTCACAGCTACACGTAGCTGCACTCGGACTCGCATTCGCACCAGTAGGGTGCGAGCCGGCTGGCCAGTTCGCCCGTCCTGGCTTCTGGGTTCACTGCGATTGATAATGCACAGCGTACCTACTCATTCTTTAGAGGCATCCTTCGGCCAACTCGTGACGCATGGGCTGCCCATCTTTCAGCTGGGGCTGACGTTGGCATCGATGACGCCCATACACCGAATGTCAATTTGGCCTGATAAAAGAAGAGCATGCGGCACTGTGAAACAGCGCGTAGTTCCCGACAAAGTTTCCTCCTGCCGTCAACAAGCTCCAGACTCATACCACTACTACTTACCGTCTTGTTTCACGTTCTTCTCAGGAAACCTCATGAGGACGCCTTAGTACAGAAGCGCGTTGGACTCGACATCGCCCCCCTCTTCCGACTCGAGGCACCACAGTTCGTCTGCACTCGCTGGCCACTTGATCTCTCTCTCTCTCTACAACAACCATGTCCCGCTTCTTCCCGCACACGGCATTCGCGGAGGACCAGCCGCTCGCCCGCACCATCCTCTGGACCCACGTCCTCACGCGCGCCGCCACCATGGGTTCCATCCTCGGCCTCGGCACCTTTGCCCTGCGCTCAGCCGCCGGGTCCCGCGTCCCCTTCCTCGCCTACGCGCCCACTGATGCCGCGACGATCCGAGCTTCCACGACCCTCGCCAAGACGGCCGTTCCCTCGGCGAACCCGTCTGCAAACCCGCTGCGAGCCGCCCGGCTGCTCGGCACGGTGGGGTCTGCGACGGTCGCGACGGTGGGCATCACAGCGCTCGTCACGATAGCGCACATGTGGGGGAGGGAAGAGGTCGAGTGGCTCGACCGCAGCTGGAGGCTCAGGGCCAACCCGTTCCAGACGGAGGTCGATGACTGGACCTACGGCACGAGTATCGCGGCGTTGGGCATTGCAGGTGTGGGCTTCCGCAAGCAGATGGCCAATCTCGGGTGGAGGGGCCTTGTTGGTGTTGCTGGGCTGGGCAGCGTTGTTGGGACGGTGGGCTACATGGGTTGGAGGCACGGCATCAAGGGCGGCACGTTTGCTGCATGATGTACAACCGCTGCGTGTGGTGTACGATGCGGAGACTTGCAAAATGCTGATCGGATGAGCGTGGTGTAAATTGAAAAAGATCGCTGTTACCATTCATGGTGAAAGAAAAGATGATTAGTGATGTCCCCAGATCGGCATTCGCAGTACATGTACAGCTTCCCCGCGTCCCTCCACATGGACAAAGCTCTCGCTCAGCCTGGAGAAGGAGCTACGAGCTGCAGGTGAGCGCCGAGCACGGCACCCCGCACCTTGGTTGGTCCTGCTTCCTTAGCTGATCGTCGCCTCTACCTCGGCTCGCCAGCTCATACAAAGGCATTCCGTTCAGCTTCAATTTCCGTCGATGTGTACGCAACTAGACCAGGTCTCCGACAAGTTTTCCGTGCTCTCTCCAGAAGGATTCAAAATAAGACAACCTGCTAGCTAGTCATTGATAGACGCTGTATCACCGCATCCTCCATCACCATGGGCTCCGATACTGCCTTGCGCAAGCTCTGGGAGCACCCTGATCCCAAGAGCACTCAGATGTACAAGTTCATACAACAAGTCAACCAGACGCACTCTCTACACCTCCAAGTGAGCCCCCTTCCCTCACTCGTTCCCTCGCTGTTGAGCTAAACATGAATAGACCTTTCAAGACATGTACGCCTGGTCGTGTGCCAACCGTGCCACCTTCTATGCCCATGTCTTTACCTTTGCCAATATCATTCATTCTGGCGCCCCCACGAGCATCGTCGACGAAGCGGCCCCGATCGATGCCGTCCCCGTCTGGTTCCCCGGCGTCTATCTCAACTTTGCCGAGAACCTGCTTCACACGCGCACATCTGCAGACCCCAAGGATCACCGCGGCACCAAGGACAAGGAGGATGACAAGATTGCGCTGACCGAGGTGCGCGAGGGCAACAGCGCCGTTCGAGACGTGACCTGGGCCGAGCTCAGAAGAGAGGCCGGGCGGCTGGCCTCGGCCATGAAGGCACGGGGCGTGACCAAGGGAGATCGCGTCGTCCTCGTTGGCGCCAATTCGTTCGAGACGCTTCTCGTCCTGACAGCAACGACATGGCTCGGTGCCGTGTTCAGCAGCTCGTCCACGGACATGGGCATCAGCGGTATTTTGCAGAGGACGGTCCAGGTGAACCCCAAGTTCATATTCTTCGACGATGCCGCCCTCTACAATGGCAAGACTGTCGATCTCCGCGACAAGATGGCCGGTGTCGCCCAGGGCATGAAGGAGTGCGATCGATTCGAGGGCATCGTCTCCATCCGCCGCTTTGAGAAACCCCTTGCTATTTCCTCCATCCCCAAGGCCGAAACGCTCGACCATTTCCTCGAGTCGGCGTCGGCCACTCCACCCCCTTTCGTGCACGTCGGCTTCCAGGACCCCTTTCTCATTTATTACTCCTCTGGGACAACGGGCACGCCCAAAGCCATCGTACACGCCGTCGGAACGCTGCTGCTCAGCGTTGCCAAGGAATCCCGCCTGCACGAGGACGTGAAACCCGACTCCGTAGGTCTGCAGTACACCACGACCGGCTGGATCATGTACCTCGCCAACGTGGCGCAGCTCCTGTTCGGAGCCCGCGCCATTCTCTACGACGGATCCCCCTTCCAGCCCGACCTCACAACCTTTATCCGCATCATGGCCGAGCAGAAGATCACCAAGCTCGGGACGAGCCCGCGCTGGCTCTTCGAGATGGCCAAGGCTGGCATCCGCCCGAAGGACGTTGCCGACCTGTCGTCGCTCCGCATGGTCTCTACGACGGGCATGGTCTTGTCAGATCAGCTATTCGACTGGTTCTACGACGAGGGATTCCCGCAAAACGTGCATCTGGCCAACATTTCTGGCGGCACAGACATTGCGGGCTGTTTCGGCCTCATGAACCCCCTGACGCCAGTCTACCGAGGCGGAACACAGGGCCCCTCCCTCGGCGTCCCGATTGCCATCTACGACGCCCAGCTGCCCGACGGACCCGGGAAGGAACTTCCTGTGGGCGAACCCGGCGAGCTCGTCGCCACGGCGGCGTTCCCGAATATCCCCATCTATCTCTGGGGCGACGCCGCCGCGCGCCCTGGCGCCTCGACGCTGAACACGGCACCGGCGGGCTCGCGCTACCACGCCGCGTACTTTGGCCGCTTCGACCACGTGTGGGCGCATGGAGATTTCTGCGCCATCCATCCCGAGACGGGCAACGTGTCGTTCCTCGGCAGGGCCGACGGCGTGCTCAACCCCTCGGGTGTGCGTTTCGGCAGCGCCGAGATCTACGCCGTCATCGAGAGACGGTTTGCCGACCGCGTGGCAGACAGCCTGTGCGTGGGGCAGCGCCGACCAGAAGACGCCGACGAGAGCGTCATGCTCTTCCTCATGATGCGCCCCGGGCACAAGTTTGACCGTGAGCTGGTGGAGGGGGTCAAGGCAGCTATCGGGAAGGAGCTGACGAAGAGGCATGTCCCCCGCTGGATATTTGAGACGCCCGAGATTCCAGTGAGTTCTGCTGTGTTTTCTTTTTTGTCATGCTCAATGCCACATGCCAAGTTCTCCAGGGCTGTGCTTTTTCTTGAAGTAAGTGGAATCGATTCTGACAAAACGCAGACAACTGTGAACTTGAAAAAGGTCGAACTGCCAGTGAAGCAGATCGTGTCGGGACACACAATCAAGCCGAGCGGGACACTGCTGAATCCGAAGAGCCTAGACTACTATTACCAGTTTGCCAAGGTCGAGGAGTTGGTGGCTGGGAAGGGGAGGCTGTAGAGAGGGTTTGGTATATGGGATATGGGATATCTAGGAGTCAGAGAGGTTCATGTCTTGCCACCCATAGAACAACAACAGCAAAGGCGGCTTGCATAGAAACGAACATGGCGTGGCGATCCCCAAAGATGAGGGTGATACTGGCCTACCGTTCGCCCATAGAATGAGTATATCGGAAGTGAGTCGCAGGCCGAGAAGAAGGCGAAGAGAGTAGCACAGCCTACCAGCCAGGTTGTCAGTCAATTCTGGAGGAACCCACTGATCACCTTCTCCATCTTGATTTTCGCGAAACCACAACCTCAGAGTCACATTCCTTGTGATCGCCGACATGCTGTCAGAGCTGGCCCGAGGCCCCCAGGGTGTGTCAGACAGTTGGTCCGATCAAACAGCCCTTCGCCCGCCCGGCATGTCGGATCACCCAGATCTGATACCGCGGTTCATACGACGGGCATCTTAAGCATACTTCGGCGATCAGATGCTGATCCCGGCGCCGATGCTTCACCTGCGTGAAACGTAAACCACACACACATATACACAAACACAGAAAACAAGGGCCCGCCAAGCCCGCCACCGCTGTATCACGGAGGGGAACGAACGCCAAACACAACACTGCCTCATCGACTGTGTCGTGAGCTCCCCACCTCAGACTGGCTGGTGTTCGGCAATCCCAAAAGAGACATGTGCAAAGAGCGTCGACGAGGGCCGAGGCGGCGCTGCAGTCGGTTACCCGACTATCAGAAGGGCTTAGATCAGTGACGCCTCGGCAGTCAGCGTGCATGCAAAGTGCCAGCCATCATCGTGAATGGCATCATGCTGCAAGGCAGACACAGAAGTGCAGGAGTCATCGTCTCAACCTCGGTTCCCAATGTGTGCTGGTAGGCATGGTGTACACCATGGAGGTCCCAGAAGATGACGCCTCGACGCTCAGCCAGCCCAAGATGCGAAGTGACGTTGGCACCATCTTCAGCTGCCAGACACGATGGGCCGTGATAAGAGTCATCGGAGGCTCATCGGACGTCCAAGACGCCTTGCAACCCCAGGGAAAGAGAAAGGGAAAGGGCGCCGCAAGCCAACCGAGGCAAGACCCCTCCTTCTCCTCCGATCGAAGCTGCTCTTGGCACGCTTTACACGTAGGAGCTCCGATATGCGGGGTTGGAACCTTGGGGGAGGAAGAGCTCACCTTGCGCATGTGGTATTAGCGTCAAGCCTCAATTGTGCGGGGGAGAGGAGGCCAAGAGCACGACCACCCACAAGCTGGCCAACTGCGTGTTGAGGAACATGGCCCGTTGAGGGAAAGGCCCCCTCCCCATAACAACAGCCTCAGCTCACCCGCCTCCACTCTCCGCATCCCGCCCAAAGAAGAAAGGGCGTGACGCAGCCTGCTGGTACAGCAGCGCTTTCTGGCCGTCTACACCTCTCCCCCCCATCGTTATGCGGGGTGGAAACTCAACGGTGGGGAGCAAGGGGAATGCCGGGAGATGTCGGAGGAGAAATTGACATGACGCGCTTGTGATCCAGTATGTAGGCCAATGGACTGAGATGCGCATCGGCCAAAGTGGTGAGGGGCTGAGCTGTGCAGTAGTGTTGTTGGCGTGGAGGAGGATTGATTGATTCATCGGGAGGTGAGCAAAGTGTTGATATCAAGCGGTGTGTGTGTGTGTGTGTCTGCGTGTGTGTATGTGTTGTTCCTCAGTTCAGTTCGTCAAGTTGGGGTAGCACTCGCGGATGCACACAATTGGGGTCAATGGCATGGTATGAGAAAAAAAAAGGGGGGGGGACAATGTCTTGCCGGAGGTGCTCGCGTGAGCTGGGTAGGAGACTGGTGTAGCAGCAGCAATTCGTGCGTCCGAAGTCCCCCGACCCAAACAAGGCTGACGGGGGAGACCAGGACGTTGACTGGCATGTGCCCCATATGCCCCATCATCGTTCGTCTGGTGAGCAGGTGAGAGCAAGTCAAGGGCCCCATCGTGATCCATCGACGATGTATCATCTGTATCCTCGTAGCTCACTTGTATGCTCATGTACACGCAGCGCAACGTACGGACCCAGACAGACCGAACAGCGGATCGACTCCGCAGGGGCGCATCAGACATCGAAGGTCCGGTAGTTCCTCGCTGAACCTGGCACGCTCCACGGCTAGTCAAAGTACAGACACGACGAGATGGGGATGGACATGGGACGGGCGAAAAGTTTCATCCTCCTGACTCTGGCCTGAAAGGTCCGACTCGCAACGTGCAGCCCTGGCAGCTCGCCCGTCCGCGGCATGACATCTCAAGGTTGGGCGAGACGGGACGAGCCTTGGCCGATCGTCGCCATTGTCACAGGGCAGAGGCAGAAACCTCGCTGCCGTGATTTCCAGTCTGCCGTCCCTCCCTCCCCCTTTCACCCCATGTTTGAGGGCGGTGGAGAGACATGGCCAGCATGGTGATCATACGAATCTGAGTCTGTGTTTCAGCGGCCGCTGGGTTTCTTTGACTTTGTGATCGAATCGGCCATCGAGTCCGTGTTTACGAGCAAGCCTGACGGACTGATTAACAGCCGCAATGTTTTGGCGGTTCCAGGTCCCAGCCCAGCTCCTGATCCGGTCAGTACCAGTCACAAACCGTCATGATTGTTCGTCTGCTGCAGGGCGAAAGGGCAACACGGACGACTGCCGATGGTGGTTGCCGCTAGCCGTGCCCCTGCCCTCCACATCGGAACAAGTCGGGAGCAGTGTTTTCGTCTTGCTTCGCAAAGAATGCACATGGGCCATGTCGTGATTCCCCAATTTCACAGGTCTCCTGGTCGGGAAGCGCCCGTTTGGCACCATTTTCTTAGGGAGGCTTTGTCAGAAGCCTCCATTGGGGGGCCACATCTTCTTGGGATCATGCAGGCAGGGCAGCAGGCAAACAGAAAAAAAACTCTGAGAAAGCGGGTTGGGCCGCCCCAGGTGAAGAGAGAGAACTAATCCGAAAGACGCTAGCCTGCCATGTTGAAGCCAAGAGGCCTGGCAGTAACACCACGAGCAGGGGGGGGTTGGCTCCGTCATGCCGGGCCCGCCAAACGAGCATCACTAGCCAGATCCAGCTGTTCAGGATGACTTGACAGCAGTGTCATTGGCCCCTTTGTTCAAGGTTGAACACGCGAGACAGGGGCGCCTTATGCAATCGACCCTCCCCGAATCCTGCCCAACCCCTGCTGCCAGCCCACCCCTTTCCCCAAGAAATTTTCGTCTCCAAAAGCCTTGCGTTTGAGCGTTCCGACTTCATTTCGAGATCTTCAGGGATGGCCAGACAGGACGAACAGAACGAAGGGGAGTAGTACTCCCTTTGACCCCATTCGGAATTCTGCGAGCGGGTACCTTTTCAGTCTAGACTCCTCCGTGAAGCGCCGGTGCTGACGCGGAGGATTTCTCCTGGGTTACTCCATCTCGAGCACGACGCATTTGGGGGAGACCACTTTGACGCCGGTCCGGTACCATCGGACATCGGCGAAGTCTCAACCAACATGGACGAAGCTAGTAGGCGAACGAAGGAAAGCGAAAGAAGAACAAACCATCGACAGGGATCGAGGTACGCACCTTGTCGGTGTGTCCTCCTCCATCGGTGGCCGCCAGAGGCAGCCCGGCCCCGTTCAGCCTATCAGCTCTCAATGTCTCAGACCCTACTAATGTGCACACTGCTACAAAGCAAGAGTAAACGCAAAAGGTAGCCTCAGCACTGACAGGCTGACGACAGCATTGGACATTGGATATTGGACATTGGACGAGCGCCGTCACGGACACCCAACCCAACCCTCCTCACCGGTCCGTCGCTCCCACGCCCGGAGGCAGGTCCCAACAAAAAAAAATTAGGATAACCAATCTGCGAACCAAGCAAGCAAACACGTAAAGCAGGCAACGCACAGCACACCCAGGCATGCTGCGCCGGACCTCGCGAGGGCCTGATGTACGTAAGAGTGTTCACCCGGTGGAGAGGCGTCCGTCTAGCTGGAGGGGGTAAATGCTTGACCATGCTGGGCCAACCAAGTCATGCAGTCCAATAAGATCGGGGAGCTCACCGTCGGTGAGGGTCGCGAACGCTGTGAGGGTCTCGTTGGGGGGGGACACTTTTGGGGTTGCTTCTTCCCCAGACTGCGGAAGGCGGATGCGCTAGGGGCGTGTTGGCCCCCTGTCATTGGATCCCGAGTCCGATCCATGGCCCTGCAGCTGGGCCCCTTCCCAAGTCCAAAGCCCAAAGACCCAACCCAGGACCCAGCCGCAGCGACCTAGAGCCAGCGAGCGCTGCTGGACCTGAGTCATCGGCCCCGTCCAGTGCCAGGTTCAAATTTCGGTGCCGTCCCACGGAGGGCCGGTGGACGCAGGTTTGGGTTCGAGAAAGAAACACAGACAGCAAAAAGGGAAGAGAGCACACGACAGGGTCTCCTGCAGCCGACTCTTGTTTTCGTTCCGACATTCTCCATTCTCCAAATATTACATCGGGCAGCAACCAAGGCGAAAAACAAGACGCCGGACGACGTTGAGCCATTGACACAGACCAACTGACACCGGGAACTGGACTGAACGCGCAGGCAAGGGCAGACAGAGCTCATCTCGTTCCCCGGCCCCTCCTTCCGGATTGTCTTCTCGCTGCTCCTCCACGTTCCATTGCTCAAGGCTGCTCCTTCTACAGTACAGCTGCTTCCGCCGCCACCCCTTCTCCAAATCCTGGTTCCTCCGGGACGCTCCTGTCTCCTCAGCAGTGCCTCATCGACATCTCATCCCGGAGGCACATCACACACCCTCCTTCCATCCCATCTTTCTCCCCCCCCCTCCTTCTTCCGCGGCTGCCATCCACCCCCACCCCCCTGCTCTTTCTGTTTCCACCTGCCCCAAAGTACCGGTACCTGCTACCCCTCGTGAAACTCGCTGCGCAGGCTTTGCAACAAGGCCCAGCCTCGAACTCACGATCCCCTCGCCGGGATGCGCCAAAGTCTCGGTACTTGGCGGGCCTTGGGTGTCCCTACCCCAATCGCCTCCGTCGGACACGTCAAAAGCCGCCTTTTCCTCACCTCTCGAGGCAGGTGCATTGTCACGAGCTCTCCCTTTCTTTCCCATCAGTCTCCGTCTCTTTCTCGAGCATTCACCTCGTCCTCTCCTCTCTCTCTGCGAGCTGCCGCTGCTGGTCCCGGCGCCCGTCCCAACACTAACACCAACACCACCACCACCACCACCACCCTCTCCGTCCCGTCCTCCTCCACCCCTAATCCCAATCACACCTCCACCTCTTCAATGGCGTCGTATCCCTACAGTGCTGCTAGCTCTGATATATCCACGCCTCGGTCATCCTCCCCCGCCTCCTCATCGTCCGTCATCTCCGCTCGCTCTTCCCGCACGTCTATATCTACTAAGCGTACCTCCATATCCAGTCGGAGAATGACAGACTTCAACCCTATGAACTCTGTCGACATCAACGCCATTGAAGAAAAGATGAAGGCCGCCGCCCTCGACCAGCACCGGGGCTATGCCCAGAACCACTACGGCGAGGTCCAACAGTACCGCAGCACCGACTATGTCCCCAAGTCGTCAGCTTGCGGTTACCAGGTCCTCCGCGAGCCCGCGTGGAACAAGGGTCAGTCTCGTCCTCCTATTCTCCCTCTCTCCTTCTTCGCCTTCCCCTTCCCCCTCTCCACCCCGACTAACATGTCTAGGCCTCTCCTTCACCCCCGATGACCGTGTCTCCAAGAACCTTACTGGCCTCATCCCCCACGTCATGGAGAGCATCCAGACGCAGAGCGCCCGCGCCATGAAGATGATCAACACGCGCTCAACGCCCATTGACAAGTACATGTACCTCTCGACCCTCAAGGACCAGAACATGGACCTCTTCTACCGCGTCCTCATCGACAACATTCGCGAGCTCATGCCTCTTGTCTACACCCCCACCATTGGCGACGTCTGCCTCCAGTACTCCTCCCTCTACACCCGCCCCGAGGCCCTCTATATCTCCATCAAGCAGCGCAAGTCTATCCGCACCATGCTGAGGAATTGGCCCTACCCCGACCCTGAAATTTGTGTCATTACCGACGGCTCTCGTATTCTGGGCCTGGGTGATCTTGGGCGTTAACGGCGTTGGCATTTCGGTAGGCCGAATTTGCATCCCATGGTCACGGAACCCCTCAGCTAACAGTTTCACAGATTGGCAAGCTAGCCCTGTACACCGGTGCCGCTGTGTCAATCCCTCCAAGACTCTGCCCATCGTCCTTGACACGGGCACAACAACGAGGACAACCTCAAGGACCCCTTCTACCTAGGTCTCCGTCACAAGCGCGGGTCTGTGGAGACGCAGCAGAGTTCATGG